ATCGATTTGCTTAGTAAAAAAACGAGTATTTGTATTACCCGTTTATTCGATTATTTTGGCGGATCATCAAGTGAGTCGATACTTTTTGTAGGGGTGTGTATATACGTTGGAAGAATTAAGCAATGGAATAGTTTGTATGAGCTGAGATTGCTGAAAGTGGCAATAATTCTCTTTCAACATTCCATGCTATAGAATGAAGTAAAGCTGTATCAACAGGTTCATTCCAATCTAAAGAAATATTTAAATATTGTTGATTATGTTGAGATTGTGTTATTTTATCAGTTAATCCCCTTATATCAGCATTAAAAAAAATAAGATGATGTTCTAATATATTTTTTCTGCTCAATCCATTGGCAGCATCATTGCCATCATTACCACCTTCATTATCATGGTTGTTTAGAAAACAATCCCGAGTTGAAAATAATATTTTTACCATTAATATGATTATTATAATTAGTTAATTCTGATGATCACTATTAAAAACATTTGTCATCACCTTGTAAATTAGAAGTTAGCTTTAAAAGTTGCTGCAGCAGCGGTTGTTCTTCTAAATCATCAACATGACCAGTAGAATTATTCTATTTGATTTCTTATCTTTTTTAAATTAGTAATATTGTCATTATTAAAAATTTTTAATGATGAATCATTATGATCATTTGTTTGTGGCGTTGATGTTGATTCCATTAATTTTTTTTAAAAAAATTTCTTTATTTTTGGTATCAATGTCACAATCACCATTAATATCAATATCAACAATAATATCATTGCTGTTGTTTCCACTATTACATACTATTGGCATGTCAGCAAAATTTTGGTATCTATCTATTGCTTCAGTTCTTCCTCTAAATTTTTTTTGAAAAAAATGTCATTTATTATGAAATTTTTTTTGGGGGATTCATTAAATATAAATCTATTGACAAATAAAATTTATGTATTATATACAAAATAATTGCTTTAATATTAAAATAATTAATAATAATAATCATGTCACAATTAATTGAAACGCACTATTTATTACATAAATATATATAAATATTAAATAAAATAAATAAATTAAAAAAAATAAAATAAATAAATTAAAAATTATAAAATAAATAATAATCATTACAAGATAAATCAAATTAAGTCTTCTTGTTATATTCATCCATAATTTCTTTATATATTTTGTCCTTTGATGTCCTAAAGGCATTGATCCTTTGCCATGAATATTCCAAGTAGTTGAATTTTATCTGGCTTTGTGCTGACTGCACAATGGCCCATAATGCCCACATAACGTGACTTGTTAATGAATAACCGTCAGCTTCTATTTTTAATTGTTTTAAAAGTTCATCTCTTGATAAACTTTTTCCATTATTATCATTGTTGTTGTTGTTGTTGGATTCCGATAAAAATGAATCCAAATAGGATTCCAAAAAATTGCGCTGCTGCTGTTTATTTGGATACCAATCTTTATGTTCCATATGGGATTCTGTTGAGTTGTAGTCAAAGGCCCACTCACATAAATGGTTGCCTATGTCAAAACCACGGTTGTTCCAACCAGAGTATTCTAGATCAATGATTGCTAGCTGACCTGATCCATCAGTAAGCGATAATATATTCCCACACTGGCACTAAAGAACCCAATAAATAAAATGAAAATAATAATTCAATTGAATTAATCAAATCAAATCAAATCAATTAATTTTTTACTTACATCATTATGTGAAAAGACGATCGGCGAGCCAATCATTTGTAATTTAGATTTTAATTCTTCTATTTCTGTTTTTAATAAACCCAAATCAAGTTTTTTTATATGAATGTTATTGGAGGGATCAAAAGAATCAGAATTAACTATATCCCAT